TCTGTGTGTGAGACACAGACAGACAGACTGCTTTCATGGAGTGCCCCAAGCAGATGCAGCCACGTTTCCTTCGCAGGGCCCTGTGCTCCTTTCCCCGCTCTTGTTCACTTTGACGGAGCAGAAGCCAGAGGGCTGCTGCAGATTGTTTGGTGTGCTGGCCTAGCCTGGTCGAGGAGGGTGCTGGCCAGGAAATGGCCTGCGGAGGCCAGCAGCGTTGAGCAGCTGTGGGTAGTGGAATGATTATATTACTTTCACTTCTCATCTGCAACCCAGGCCCCAGGCGCTTTCCCCAAACAGTGGCAGTGTTGTCGTGCGAGAGTCTCCTAAGTGGCGTCTGGTGTTCAGTGGTATACACCGTGGGGTTTCCGGGAGAGCACTGTGTTCAGGGAACCATGCGTTCATGAGAAACAAGACGGAACCGTAGCCCAGTGGCAGGCCTGAGAAGATGACTGACGCTTGTGTTACTGATGCCCTTGTCCGTGGTGAGCAGTCACTTAACACAGCATTGGTACCAAGATGGAAGATACATTTGAATTGGTAAAAATAGCCCAACGGGGCCATTTCTGGCTACAGTGGAATGTGCTGATTCAGACAGCTTCGCCGGTGGTGGCCATTTTGCCTTATCACCACCTCAGTCCCTTGAATCTAACATTTTATTTTTTCCTTTTGTAGTTAAGTAAGAGGGGGAAACCGTTGCATGTTGGTGACCCCAGAGGAAGGAGCCCCCTCAGGACTGACTCACATTACCTAAATTAATAAGAGACTGATGTACAAACTGGGGCACCTGTGTAATGAAGGGCAATGAAAGTTGGTAAAAACCATAGGGACTGACCCTGTCTTGTGGCCTGGGGTTATGGAGGGACACAAGCAGTTTACCAGGGCTCATTTGCTTGTTTTCTTATTCTCATTCGTGAGGGCCCCAAAACTCCATCATTTGATGCCCAGTTGGTCCTGACTGATGGCTTCCTAGGGCAGAGGTCAGTAAAGTACTTGCTGGTTCTTGTATCTGAAGTTTTGCTGGCACTCAGCCACGTTCATTCGTTTATATCGGGTCTACACTGCTTCTGCTAGCAGAGCGCCAGAGAGGACTGACCGAAACTGAGTGTATGACCAGCAACACCACCTAGCCCTTTAAGGAGAAGCTTGCAGCTGCCCCCTCTGGGAAGGCTGCCCAGGGAGACCTAATTACAGCCTGGAGCCGCCTGCCACCAGAGCTCAGAGTCTGCTAAGAGCTGTTGTTTGGGTCACCTGGCTGCTGAGAGCCCTGGGGACAGGGGTGCTGTTACATCTCGGCCCTCCTTTTCCACCACCACCCACTCACCCCCCCTTGCTGTTGCTTTTTCCTGGGTTTGTGTAATTATATCTTCTATTGATTAACCTGCATCCCCAGGATGAACCCTGGCCAGGCCCATGTACTTTCTGAGAGAGTCCTTAGGTGAAATTAACAGAGTGTCAGGTTCTGCGGGGAATAGAATGGGGAGGCCATGACCTCCAGCCTCTGTGCTGGGTCCTATTGGAAACAACAATGAAAGAGCTTAGCTGTCCAAAGCCAAACCCACGGCCATCAAGTCAGCCCTACGTAAGAATTGTGGGGCTGCCAGTCTTCACCAGTGCAGACAGCCCCATCTTTCTCCCGAGAGCACCTGGTAAGTTTGGAACATGGACCTGGCAATTAGCTCAGTGCCCAACCCACAGCGCCACCAGGGGCCTCAGAAAGATCCTGGGATCATTATCCACCCACGGACCTCTCAGAGGATTCCTCAATGGAGCCACCACGCAGACTTGCCCCTTCCAAGCGGAATTGAGTAAGAGCGAGAGCCCCCGTGAACACAGAGCAGCCCTGTGTAACCCACTAGACCAGTAGTGCTCAACCTTCCTCACGCCGCCACCCTTTCACACAGTTCCTCATGTGGTGGGGACCCCCACCCATAAAGTTATTTTCATTGCTACTTCAAAACTAATTTTGCTATGTTATGAATCGTCATGTAAATATCTGGTATGCAGGATGCGTTTTCATTGTTACAAATTGAACATCATTAAAGCACAGTAATTCATCACAGAAACAATCATATATTGTGAAGTATTTATTTCTAGTGACAAATAAATGAAATTTTGTCTTGAAGCATGGTGTAGCATGGGTAACAGTCTTAATATAAAAACAGTGAACTACATTGCATACATTTTGAGACAGTATGCATAAAAAGCCAAGTCAGTGTGAAGGTTGAGATAGCTTCTTTCTCACCAGCTCAGAAATTCTCGGGACAATCTTTGCAAGAGCACAACGAAGATCATCTTCCACAACAAATCTACTTCTATATTTAGACTTGATAACCAACAAGCTGGAAAACCCTGTTTCACAAAGATAATGTTGTTGGAAATGGAAGAAGTAGGCACAACACAGTCTTGGACAGAACAGTAGCTGCTCTTTGCACGTGTGAGACTGGTCCTGGTCCGCATAAGTACATTATGGTGCCGACCCTGTCACATTAACTTGTATTTGTACGGGGTGTATGTGATGGGGTTGGTGTGATGATGTCATCACGCGGGCGTATCTGCATGTGAGCAGACCCACCTGGAGACGGATAGAGGAGCAGTGCCTCGGTTCCTAAGACCAAAGGGGTCACGACCCCCAGGTTGAGAACCGCTGCACTATACTGTCAGGGTTGGAGCAGTGGCTTCCGGTGCCAAGCTTTGGGTCAGAGGTGGCCAGAGCCCTTCAGGGTGAGTGAAGGGGCTGCGAAGACCGGGTGTGGTCCCTGCCTCAGCCTCTTCCTAGACCCATTCCCTCCGAATCTGCATTCTAGCAAAGCCCTGGTGGACCAGGGCACTGGGCCTCCCTGTGTTTTACTAAAGGGGGTGATTTTGGCGCAGGGGTAATCTGGGGGAAACCAGGACCTGGACCTTCTGACCTCCGGGCCTGGCTTTCCTCCAGCATATCTTATTTCAGATGGATCACCCAGTATTGTATTTTAATTGTTGCTAAGTGCCTTCCAGTTGGTTCCAATTCTAGTGCCCTGCACACAACAGAACAACACACTCCCCAGTCCTGCACCATGTGCACAATGGGCTCCTGTTCTGAGCCCATTGTGATGACCACAGTGTTCATCCATCTCCTGGAGGGCCTTCCTCTTCTTCGCTGCCCCTCCACTTCACCAAGCACAGTGGCCTTCTCCAGGGACTGGTCTCTCCAGAGACATGAACCCCCTTCTCAGCCTAAGACTGACCATCTCATGAAGACCCGCCAGTGAGAGCCCTGTGGGTCACCACAGCCCCATCTCATTTTTATGTGTGGGGTCCACTTATACTGCAGCCAGCTCAGTGGTGGCAAACCACCCTTGGGTGGGTGGGTGGGTGGGGGCATTCAGGAACTAGAGCCGCCGTTCTCAACCTGTGGGTCGAGACCTCTTTGAGGGTCAAGCGACCCTTTCACAGGGGTCACCTGTTTCATAACAGTAACAAAATTACAGTTATGCCATAACAACGAAAATAATTTGATGATTGGGGGTCACCACCACATGAGGAACCGTATGAAAGGGTCGCAGCATGAGGAAGGTAGAGAACCACTGAACTAGAGGAACGATGCGTGTTCTGTCAGTGCTATACTGCACCCTGTTTGAATTGTCCCTTCCTTATAACCCCTCTGTGGGGGGATGTCCAATTGTCTACAGATGGGTTTTGGGTCTCCACTCCAACCCCTCCCTTTCGCATCGATATGGATGTTTGTTTTGGATCTTTTGATACCTGCTGCCTTGGATACTTCATGATCACACAGGCTGGTGTGCTTCTTCCGTGTGGGCTTATTTGCTTCCCAGCTAGATGGCCGCTTGTTTAACTCCAAGCCTTTAAGACCCCAGACGCTATATCTTTCGATAGCTGGCCACCATCCACTTTCTCCATCACATTTGCTTATGTACCCGCTTTGTCTTCAGTGATCCTGTCAGGAAGATGAGTTGCGGAATTGTTGTTCATTTAAAAGAGGCAGATACCATTGTTAGGAAGCTGTGAGTTTTGTGGATGGTGGTGGCAGATTCCGTGGTGGTTCTGAGTGGAGGCTGCACATCATGATTGATGCAGTGAACATTCATTTTCCCCCTGAAAGACATTGGATAGGTCAATGTGTCATGTACATTTACAGTTAATTAAAGAAGACACATGAGGCATGACATCGCCCTTAATCCTGCACACATCGCAGAACTTGAGCTGCTTTTGGACCCATAGAGACTCCATATAAAGTTTGGGAGACAAGACAGAAGCAGACAGCCTCATCTGTCTTCTGCTGAACAGCTGGTGGGTTTGAACCTTTGACCTTGCAGTCAGCAGTTCAACACTTAGCCCCTAGTACCACCCGGACTCCTGGTCCTTCAATCGGTCAACCATAACAGCCCCTCTGGCCACGTTTTCCTCAGCATATTTTTTTCAGTCTGCTCCATAGTGGGTGGTAAGCACTGTGGAATGATGCAGCACATGTTGTTAGTGAATGTTGCAGGCTAGGTTCCAGCTTGTGGTGCACACTTTGAACAGGGTCCAGAGAGCTTTCTGGGTATTATTCTTTGACCTATCCTGGCTTGACTCCAACCTGCAGTGACGATGGGGAGATGCAGACGGCCCCTTCTCCACGTGGGGAAATCCGCATTGCTGACAATCCAGTTCGCCGCTCTTTTCATTTTCCGCATACGCCGTCCTTTTTGACCCCTGGCCAGGATATTTTCTCCCTTTCTTTTTTCAAACTGTGACCTGGGGGGAAGAGCGTGTCGGGGTTTCCGTTCCAACAGGTCACTCATTTGCTTGGTGACAGTGACTGCAGTTCCCTCCATGTACCAGCTCTCTGCCTGAGCCTTCCCTGGTTGGCCATTTCCCCGTGCCCTTTCGGACCCCTGGCTGCCCTTGGCAAACGCTGCCCTCTGTCGTCTTGTATTCTCGACCTGGATGTTCTCCTACGTGCTGGCAGTGCTGGTGCCCTTGTCCTTCGGGTTGACTCGACTCGGCTCTTTTCTCCGCAGGTCCCTGCGGTCACTCCTTGAGGGGCAGGATGGCCTGGTGCGCAGTCCTGCTGCTTGGCTTGGTCCTGGGGACAGGCGCCGTGCCACTGGATGACGCGGAGGACGGCGGCAAGCACTGGGTGCTCATCGTGGCTGGCTCCAATGGCTGGTACAACTATAGGCACCAGGTGAGAGGCGGCCACACATCTTTTTCTTGGTGACCCTGGTGTGACCTGGGCAGTCTTGGACGTCGTCATGACGAGGCTTCTGAAAAAGCCATTCCCCACACCCACTAAACCCAAACTCACCGCCACCGAGGTGTGGCCGACTCATAGCGATCCTCCAGGACAGGATATCACTGCCCCGTGGGGCCTGAGATCGTGACTCGTAGGCGAGTCGAAAGCCCGCCTTTCTTTCTTGGAGCGGCTGGTGGTTTCAAATCGCTGACCTCGCAGCTAGCAGCCCAGTGCATAACCACTACGCCACCAGGCTGAGTGAGACAGAGGTGAGGACGGGGGCTGTTGCTGGTGGGGTGTGGGGGTGGGCCCAGCCACCTTGGACAGTGGTCCAGCAGTTCCCTGAAAGGTCCAACAGAGGGAGAAATGCAGAATGGAATTCTAAATTCTCATTGACTTCAGACCTTATGGAGCTACAGGGGCTGGAAGAACCCCCAAAACTATTACCTAAGATAGTCTTTAAACCAAATAGACCCCTGAAGCGGTCTTCAAAGCAAATAATAATTTAACTTCAAGCGCAGGAACAATGGCGAGGCTGGCGCAGGACTGGTGTCTCCTTCCATTGTGCGCAGGGTCGCAGTGGGTCAGAACTGACTGCCTGGCACCCGGCAGCAACAACAGTGGGGAACAGAGCCCTGGTGGCGTAGTGGTTACGTGTCAGGCTGCTCATCCCAAGGTCAGCAGTTCGAAACCACCAGCCTTGGGAGAAAGAAGAGGTTTAGACTCCCTAAAGAGCTAACAGTTCCAGAACCCCACAGGAGTAGATTCTACCCTGTCCTATCGGCTGCCATGCGCTGGCATTCACCTGATGGCCGCCGAGTCGGCTTTGGTCTGTCGCAGTGAAGAAGGGGCTCAAACAAGGACGGTTGAGGGGGTGGTGCAGGACCGGGCGGTGCTCCGTTCTGTTGTACGTAACGTCTGTGAGTCGGAACCGACTTGGCGGCACCTAGCAACAGCCATGAAGAGCTCAGGCTCAGCACGGTCTTCATTTTGAGGTCTATGCCCCGGGGTCCGACTGGCAAGAGCAGCTGGCAGGATTCGCCAGGAATCTTCGGGGACGGTGAGTGGATGTTCACTGGGGACGGACCACTGAGGCAAAGGAGGTGAGAATGACTGCGCAGTGTGCAGAATGTCAACCGTGCCACTGGCGGGTACAGGCGACCGGGGACTCTGCATGTGTTTCTGCTGTGTGTCTTGTCAACAGCAGCAGCATAACAAAGTTAACTCTTTCAAAAACAATAGGTTAAACGTAGTTACCCTGTGACACAGCACCTTCACCCGAGAGATTGGCAAGCCTACGTCCACACGAAAGCTTGCACACAAACGTTCATGGGTGCTCTGCTCATAATTGCCAGAGTGGAAACAGCCCCGAGTTCTATCAGATACCCAAACTACTCTCTCCAGACCAACCAACCCACCAACCAAGAGAAACAACTCCCCCACCCCCACCCCCGCCACTGAGTTGATTCCGACTCACAGCAACCCAAAGCACAGAACTGCCCTTTCGGGTTTCCAAGGCTTTTTACATTTTGACAGGAGAAGGCAGTCTCATCTTTCTCCCTCAGAGCAGTTGGTAGATTCGAACCACTGACCTTGTGGTTAGCCATTCAATATGCCGCTCATGACACCAACAGCACTCCTTCTTCAAACTCAAAGGGACTCCATAGGGCAGAGTAGAACTCGCTTAGGGTTTCCAAGACTGTCAATCTTTACAGGAACACACAGCCTCCTCTTTCCCCTGTGGGGGGGTGGCCGGTGGGTTTGAACTGCTAACCTTACAATTAGCAACCCAGTGCTTAATCCACTGTGCTACCAGAGCCCCTTAGGAAATCCCTAGGGTGTGCAAATGGTTAAGTGCTTGCTTGCTAACCAGGTGGTACCTGGGAAGAAAGGCTGGCAATCTATTTCATTAGCCAATGAAAATCCTGACTAAGGGTCCCAGTCATGATCTGACACATAGGCCACTGAGTCAGACGGACCTGACAAGTGGCTTGTTTTATTTTATTTTACTTAATCTAGCCTAGCATATCAACTGCTGTTGTTTTAACTTAATCCAGATTTAAAAATGAGTAATGCGTTCTCTCTCGGGGGCGCTGGTGGTGCTTACTGCTGAGGGGAAGGTTGGTTTGAGCCCACCCACCAGCTCCGAGGGAGAAAGACCTGGCAGTCTGCTTCCTGGTGTGGTGTGGTGTTGTGTGGTGTGTGTGTGTGTGTGTGTGTGTGTTTGAATTGGGTGAAGGTTTACAGTCAATGATTCACACTCATCCTTTGTAATTCCCCTCAGTGTAAGATCACCATTCCACCCTCCCCATTTCACCCCGGAGTTTCATGTCCCTGGTCCTTCTATTGTCCTAACCCCTCTGAACTGTGTCCTTGGGTCAGTGCTGCCATCTTGGTCCCAAGTGGTTGAGCATTGTAAGGTAGGCAGGTGACCACAATGTTACTTTCCCCGTATATATCGGCCTTTGGGCTGGAAACTGAGCCACAAAGGTGAGCTCAGTCCAGACCTGAAGGGTGACAGGTCAGGCCAGTCAGAGTGACCGGTCAGCCTGGTCTGCAGGATCTAGAGTTTTGTTCACCCTTTTTTCTCACTCTCTCCAGAAGCACCTAATGCACTTCAGTTCAGAGCAGTTGGCAGTGCCAGCCAGTTCTTCTGGCACTGGACGTGGACAGATGTTGGCCTGGTCCACTATTCCACTGGACAAGTGGTTTCCGTGTCTTCAGTTTTTGTGACTTCTTTTCTCAGGACAGGAAGAGAACAGTCATTGTACCTTAAATAAAGGCCATTTACCAGCTGTTGAGACCGCCCCCACCCCCCGCAGGGACCACTCACTGAAGGAGAGTCTAGACTTTGTGGACTTAGCATCCCATAAAGTTTTAAGCCCGTAAAACCCTAGGGTTCAAGTTTTTGTTTTTTTTAAAGATCATTTTATTTTGGGGTCTCTTACAGCTCTTATAACAATCCATGCATCAACTGTATCAAGCATATTTGTACATATGTTGCCATCATTATCTTCTAAACATTACTTTCTATTGAGCCCTTGGTATCAGCTCCTCTTGTCGTGTCCCCTCCCCCCACCCCCAGCCTTACGGGACAGTTCTTGTGGGTCATGTGGGCTTTCTGAGAGTAGAAATAGACTTGATAGCACCAAGCAACAAGGTAGACACCTTACTTGTGTTCTTTTCCCCCATCTCGAGGTGGTCTAGCCACATTTTCGGTGCTCAGTGGCCCTGTGTCCCCGTGGTGACCATGAGGATGGTGCAGGTCTGGGGTCTGAACACCGGTGTCAGGACAGAGCCCTCACGTGTCACTTGGGTGAACCTGGGCCGGCATGCTTCCCTCCCAGCCATCCGCTTTTGTGTCTGAAGTCCTGGCTTGGCGGAGGCGGGGCCCCTGCCAGCTCTAAGGCTGGATGGTTGTTGAGCGACTTCCTTGATGAATGGTATGTTGCATTGTGGCTTGATTACCAAGGTGGTGTCCTGGTGAGAAGACCTGTTTCCTTAGCGAACCACAGACCTGGGGCATTGAAAGAGCAAATGGCCGGCCACCAGCTTGCTGCTTTTTCCTCCCCTGTGACCACGAGTGCTGGAGCTGATGGAGGCCGGGCAGCGTGCAGCAGCGCCCTCTCCAGCCTCTGCCGACTTCACCCAGCAGCCTCGTGCTCCACGTCAACATGGGCTAAACATTAACCCTTGTTCCGGGAGCCTGTTTTGTAAAGCGGTGCTCGTTTCCCTGGGTTAAATAGGAAGCTCTGAAGTAGCGTGTGGAGAAGCAAGGCCAAGGCAGGGGTTGTGGACTAAAGGTCTGTCCCCCAGGAAGAGAAGATAGTGTGAGATGGTGTGTGAGCAAGTCGTCTGCTGAGCCCAGCCTGTGCCCTGCGGGCCCGGCTTTGTTCTCAGCCAACACTGGCTGCCTTGACTGTGGGAAGCTAACCATTGAAAGAGCAGCTTTGCCATTGACACTTTATTGAGATTGACCTCATGCTGCTTCCCTGAGCATTGATTGGCAGCTGTGGGTTTGGATTAGGTAGAAGAAAAAGAGACTACTCAGAGTAAACCTCTGCCAGGGGTCCCGGGCAGTCTCTGCCCCCTGGCTTCCTGCCAGCATTGTGCCACGTGCTCGGACTCAGCCCAGTTTCTGGGAAGGGGAAGACGAAGTCCAGGTCTGACTTGGGGAGCTCCTGGCCACGTGGGGCCAGACAGGTCGCCTGTGCGGAGCCAGGGCCTTGATAGAAGGAATAAGGTGGCCCAAAGGACAACTGGATTCTGGGGCCAGCGGGGGTCGAGGTGGGGTGTCAAGCACAACAGAAGCGGTGAGCAACACCCCTCTTTCTGTTGCCAGGACCTCTGAACTGACCCCCAGAGGAAGTCCTGGCCCCTTACCACCCTTAGCAAGAAGAAGGCGGAGCTCCCTGACTGTGCCCCTGGGACCCCCCCCCTGCCCCAGCATATATGCAGAGTGTCTTCCTTGGGATGAGGGGTCAGCAAGCTTTGCTCCATAAAAGACCAGATAATCAATTGGGTCAGTTTTACAGGCCCCGGGGTAAAAAGTACATAGGTACTTACACAAACCCCAAACAAAAGCAGACTTGCGAACTAAAATGTAGTCACTTAAAAAGATAAAAACCATTTTTAGCCTTGAGGCCGTATTCTGCTTATCCCTGCTGAGGGCCCTTCCAACTCCCGCTCAGGATTGATTGCATGTCACCCTGGTGGACATCTGTCTCCCCGGGAGCCTGAGTGATCTGTGATCCTGGACGCTGTGGGCCATGGGCCTGTGAGTCTCATCCCGGCCCTCCACAGTGGTGAACAGTGCCTAGCACTGTCAGTATCTATTCATGGAGGAAACAGATCGATGGAGACCAAACAATCTTTACTGCTGATGAAGGTGCGTCGAAGAAATGCCTTTTTCCTGAATTCAGAGGCTGCCCATCTCTCTTGGTCTGAACAGC